CGCGCGAGACTGTGTGGGGCCGAGTGAGGTCGGAGCAGTTCGGAGCAGCTCGGAGCAGCCGAGTGGGAGGGTGAGTAGGGGGCGAGTTGAACGGATTGCGGCGCGCAGAGCGGTGCCTCTAAGTAGGGGCGGATTTAGACGATTCGCTGCCCCGAGGCTGTTAACCGGAGAACCACCCTGTAATGCTTCCCACAAACACGACTAGCCGTGGGGTTTCCTTTTAGCGCGGGAAGAAGGAAGACTACGTTTTCCTCGAGGGCATTCCGAGTTGACTTTGAGGTTACCCTGCCGTGTAATTCGGCGCGCCAGCGAAACCGCTTGTCGGGTGAAGGGATTATTTTTTCGGGAATGAAAGTACGAATGTTTGGAAAGAGGCAGGGTAATTCCCCATTTTTCGAGCTTTTTAACGTACATCACGTAACAATTAGTTTCCCGGAGAAAATCGTAGAAAACGTATAAATTACCTGTCCAATATGAAGAATGCCGCTGGACGATATGCGGCTTCTGCTAGGTTATAAACGTCTTTTAACACATATGTAAACACGGAAATATTTTAAGGAACAATTAATTTATTTGGCGCTTGTATTAGAAATTGTTTGGAATTTTACGTTTTCCATATGGTGGATTCTACAGTTCCATGATATATGGTATTCGCGAGATAACGTCTTTAGCGTAAGTATAAACACGTAAAAATTGGTAAGAAATCATTAATTTGTCGTCTGCGTTTAAATTCTTTCGACTTAACCCTGTTTAATAACAAATTTCTAATTGGATTTGTTATTTTCTATTTGAAAAGGGAAGGGCGCAATGTACTTTGCGCTCGCGTAGAGAACTAGGGACGTATTATACGTTATAATGTACACCACGTTACGGTAGAAACCACGTATATTACAGGACGTATTATATTTACCCAACCCTGGAAAGAGGCAAGGAATTCATAAGTCTCCATAGAAGCCCAGAAAAATACGGACGTTTGCTGCTCGATAAATAGTGTGTTAGCCAATGGATGGTGGCGCTGTAATCGTCTCTTCGTCTCTCTTAATCTTACGGCCATATATGTGCCCATAATTATGAAAGTGGTCTAAGTCAAAATTAAAAAAAAAAAAATGAGTTTATCAGTTATTTCACGCCATATTATTTCAAACGAAATTAATTCAATGTAATTTCGAAACAAAAAATACATGACTTAGACCACTTTCATAATTATGGGCACATATAGCGGATTGCATTCTTTCTTTATCTAACACCCAGGACTCGCCTTTCTATATGCATCTCTCTTTCTCTCGTATATAAAATACCGTTGGCTAACACATGGGATCTCTTTTTACCCCCACTCCTGGTTTATTAGCCAACTTTTAAAGCTTCAAGCGCTGACATGGGATCTGGGCTTCCATGGAACTTCTGAATTCTTTGAAAGAGGTTATGATGGGTCACCTGACCGACATGGGCCGCCATCTTGATTTTCTTGAACGGTGAATAGGGAGGAAAGGAATCTCTTCTTTATCGAGTTTCGTTCAACGGAATGGGATTTTCTTTCGGGAAATAAGTGGTCCCTGTGGGGTAGAAGGTTGCGGATGAACGTTTCAGACGGTTTCTTGTTGTGACCTCGAGAAATGAGGGGAATCTGGGGTATCGTTGAACCGAACCAGGGCGGTGGGGTGTTTGTTTTGAACCCCTTCTCGGAGTTTTTTAAGCCCTTGAAAGTTCAGGGATCCTGTAATATTTTTTCAAGCTTAAATAATCGCTGAAGATCAAAATGGTCCAATTGTTCTCTAAAATGAGAAGGGGCCTTAAAGTGTCTTTGATCGTAAATAAATTTCAAAGTACTTGAAGCAGTTATCAATTTTGAGAATATCCGTTTGCCGGTGCATACCTGCCCACCAAACATACTATGTTACAGTTACATAACATTGGAATAACACGATATGTAACGAATTTTATTCAAAAGATACATTATTGTCATATAACGTCGAATTATTCCCGTTCGGTAACATTGTTACAAACTTGTAAGCATTGCAGTTATATAATATTAACATAACATATAACATGTTACCGGTATGTTATGTATACGTTACACTATTCGTTTTATAACAGCCCTAGTAGCATAGAATGATTTCTAAATATTTGTTTGTAATCTTTGCTAAATATCTCAAGCGACAGATTTTTCAGATTTCTTGTAGATTTCATTCGAAGATGTCCGAAATTTTGTTGAAAATCTCAATGACATATTTGGTCTCAATAATTTNTGTCTAGTAAATATTTACAAAATGAACGATATTCGTTAAATATATAGAAAATATATGACAAATATTTTGTGCTATTAGGGAGGGTTATACAGCTGCATAGGACATAGTAATACAAATCTTACTTATATATGTACGTTACATTACATGTTACAAACGTTATGTAACGATTATATTATTGTCACGTAGTCGTGTTTCGTAAGTTAGATCGAGTGTAAAATTTACTTTCTAGGAGAAATTATTTATTTGCGGCAATCCAAATATTTCGTGATAAACAATGGCTTTGACTCCGGCGAAATTTATTTTCCAGGAATGCGAGACAAACGTTGACAATTTTGTATCGAGGGGAAATAATTTTGCGAAAAATATATCCACGCACAAAGTGGGCTTCAGGTATTGAACATATTAAGGGAAGTTATAAAATTTTTTGGATAAAATGGTGAATTTAACTCAAAGAACTTGATATCTGATATGAACATTGAAAAATTATTAATGGCGAATAAATATTCTCCCAACTTGATGCAAAACTGAGTTCATCGATAAGTGATAAAGTTTTGAGATAAAGCATCGGATTGACTATAAATCTATTAAATTCTACTTTGGTACAAAAACATTATTAATTCTTCCAAAGTGTTTCACTGTTTGAAGTGTTTAACTTTTCATTCCAAGACGTTTAAATACAGAAAATCTGATGACAATGAATGATAAAAGATTGATTAAGATGAGCTCAAGGAAATTCAACATCGAATCAAATTTGTATTAGTTCATTCAATCAACTCTACAACTTATTTCGTTGATAATGGCAAATAGAAATCTTATTACCATGAGATTTCCTTTTTTTATAGAAAGTAATCGTTTCACTCGGGGTAATTCAGAAAGAAATACTACGCGATCGCTTTTTAGAAAATTCTCTACAATACTACGAAATCTCTGCTTCCGCAAAAGTATCTTGAAGTCTCGGAAAATCAGATAATTCACCTTCAACTAAATCCTACTGATTGTTAGCGTAATATTTGCTCCACCCACAGACTTCTATCAGGAACTAGATTGCTAACACAGGTCGTTAGCAGTCAGTCAACAGCAAACTGTACATATGTTCAACCGGATATCCGGTTAGCCATTACATCTACGGACGAAATACAGTAAAAATCCCCTAGTAGCACAAAATATTTATCCTATATTTTCTATATATTTAACGAATATCNATCAAAATCACACGTTTTGCTCCCATATTGAATTAGCGGGACGAAAATATTACAACAATTTGTCGTGTTTTTGATACCAAATGAAGTGTCCGATAATAATCGTGAAGTAAAAAAATGCGTTTTTATTATATGTTCATAAATTAAAAAAAATTTCTACATATGTTTATAAATTATTGAAACTAAATATGTCATTGAGATTTTCAATAAATATTTCGGACATCTTTGAATGAAATCTACAAGAAATCTGAAAAAATCTGTCGCTTGAGATATTTAGCAAAGATTACAAAGAAATATTTAGAAATTATTCTATGCTACCAGGGCCCTATTGAAATCCGGTAAAAAGCTCGGAGTTCCTCGAAATTTAACCGGTGTTCTGCAGGGGCAAAAATCTGGTGGATCGAAAATAAACGCGGAACCATTAAAGCAGACACCAGCCTGGGGAGTTCCATCATGCTATATAGTGGTGCTATCCTATACGACCCTTCATAAAACTCCCGAAAATCCTCTCCACTCATCGAGAGCTGTAATCGAATCCATTGGATCTCGGAGTTGACCGAAAAGCCGAGCAACGATCATCCCGAATGGAACCAATCGTTCGAGGTTAAAAAAAAAAATGTGGAGCGATGGGAAGAGAAAAGTGCGCCCCGAGAGGCTCCTCCTTGATCCTGCCGTCCGACGCGTCTCCGCGGTGGTGGCAGAGTGCGGCGCGGGGCGCGGGGCGGCGCGCGCGTCAAGTAGTCCGGGCGCGGGGCGGAGGGGGGCGCGGGTGGCGCGGGTGGCGCGCGTATAGAGGTGAAATTTAAAGGGAGGGGCTCGCCGAAAATGGCCGCCACCCACGGGACGGGACGCCCGAAGGGGTGCGAGTGACGACGCGGCCCTGCACGCTTCCACCCGCCTCCACCCGCAGGCCGATCCACGGTGTCCTTAATCCGATTTCTCGGAGTCTCCCCGAATCTCGGCCGGAATTTTGCCCCGAGCCGATCGACCGGTCGCAACCATTATTATGTCGTGGACGAGGAGCGATCGCGGTGACGACCTACCGAGAGCTCTGCCGGACTTCCTGAGCCCGAACTCTGCGAGGTAAATCCCAGGGCGCGGGAAAAGTGCTCGACCATCCAGGAGCGGCTTATGCGTCGTCGAGTCACGGCAAACTGCGCCCTTAAGATTGTTCCGCACCCCGGGGAGGTAATTATTTACCAAGGGCCTCGATAAGCGCTCCGCCCGGTTCGTGCGTCACTCGGTATTCAATTAAGACATTTCGCGCTTCCAGGCGAATGGACCTGTGTTTTGAAGTGCGAAATGGGGTTAGTTGGCGGTGGAGATCGTCGACCGACGTTTACTTCGGAGAGTCACGATTAGCGTACTTTATTTGTTACGGTTTGAATTTAAGATGTGGGGTTGGGTGTCGAGAATGTCGTGTTTGAAGTTTATGGAAAGGTATGTTGTGTTAAAAGGGGATTCTTATTATAGGGTGACTTTTTAAGACGATGGCATAGGCCCGGTGGGTCCAACGAAGGAAGATCCGGAGGAGATCCAAGAGGCTGGCGCTAAAATGCGCGGGTCCTCTTTGGGGATCGTAGTTCCTTTATTGCTGATCGTCGTCGTCATTCGTTGGCCCGTCTACTGCACCTCGGAATCTAACAAGGCTGCGAGAGCAACCAAAAGTCGACCGAGGACCTCTCGTTCGCCATGGCGCTTAGTAGTGAGTTTGACGCAGCCTCAAGCTCCGTTCAAGGCAGACGTGCAAAGAATGTGGGAAGAGGTCAGACTGGAATCTGCTCAGGGAGACATGGAAGTATCTTTCGTGGAAGCGAGAATGATGCCTATATCGGACTCGCTTTCTTATCCTTTGTCGCTGTTGAACAAGTTCTGCTTGAACATCAGTGGTGGAAAGACCTTACTTAGCGTAGTGATCGGTGGAGGATCCGCTGCCAGATTTCTGGTAACAGCTGCCACTTCTGTAAATCTGCCTACGTTGTGGCTTCCCTTTGCACATCGTGACTTCCTTCAGCAGGTATTTACTCGATTTGTTCAATATCTTGGTGAGTTTATTTTCGCTTCACGTCATGATATTGTAATTCCAGGAGAGGAAAGGGCGTTTCGAAAATCGCTTAGGCTCGAGCTCGGAAGAAGTAGGAGCAGCTGCCGCTGCTCTGATGCACAAGGCTAACTGGCATGCGTTTACTCTATTGGTAGACACTACGTTGCTTCCGATACATCATTTGTTACAGTCTGATCGACCGGTGTTAACCCCCAGGGCAATAATTCATTTACCAGCAACGGACAAAACGCTGTATTTCAGATTAAGAAGAATCGCGGAAGAAGGTGGAAGCGGTGGTGTGCTCGTCATGTGCTGTGACCTAAACAATGCACGGAAGATTCTTGCAACGGCTAGCAGATTTGACATGTTATCGGGAAGGTTTCTTTGGTTATGGTTGGATCTTAAAGCAGAACTCAGATCGAACGAGCTAAATCCAATGAATCCACATGTTTTACACTCTAATCGTGTTTCGATTACTGGTGGAGAAACTGCGTTACCTTTGGAAAGTAACAATCACAATACAAATTCGATGCCAGAAAAAGAAATACATTTGCACTCGTTACCAAACTTTGCAAGTGACGTACACAAATTGCAGGAATTTCGATGGCAGAGTGAGAAAATTATTAGGAAAAGAGAGGATAGAGTATTCCAGTTCGATGACGACGAAGAAATGAAGTTTGCTGATAGAGGAATGAATTCGAAAAATTTCATGCCGGTAGGAATGCTTGCATTAAGGCCTGTTGGTACGAGACTCACAAGTGGTGATTCAATATTGAATCGAATGCTACGGGAAACGTCCAGAGTTCTGGATCACGTGATGACCGAGCTGAAACCACAGTTAAGTCGATTACGAGACACTCAGATAAAGGAATACTTCATGCCAGATTGCTTCACTCAGCCGAACGCTAAATTTCTAACAAACGATGCACGAGAAAACGTTTCCAGAACTCTGTCGGAGAAGTTAAAAGAGGCGATACGACAGATTTCTCGGGACAAGGCGGAGTTCCATTTGTTAAACCTACAAGCGATAAAATTTGCCGGAAACAAGACTCAACTTAGGTAATTTTTCGTTAAGGTGATATGAAAGTGATGTTAAAGAAGTTTATGAAACCTTCTTCCGAATTGGGTGTACCGAATCGTTTCGAACTTTACAACAATAATATAGAGACTATGAGGAAGGTCCTGAAACTCACGCAATTTTAATGCCTTAAAAATTTGTAGGTATTTAAAAAATGAAATATGGAGTGTCAGGACCTTCCTTATGGCCTCCATGTTTATGGTGTAAAATTGGAAACAATTTGGTACACTCAGTTCGGAGAAAAGTTTCACGAACGATTGACTTTTGAGATGCCACGTTGACATCCCCTTCAACAATCGTTATCAGATATTTGGTAAAAAGGTTATCTACTTATTATTTACAATCTTTCTGTAGGTGGACGAAAGTTGGAACGATAAAAGGTGGAAAAGAAGTACGTCTTGACACCATTATTTGGCCCGGAGGGGGAATCGTCCCAGCTTATTTGGAACAAGGTGGTGACAAAGTTGGAATGCCAATTTACAGGATCGTGACAGCATTGGCACCACCGTTCGCAATGGTAACGAGTTTACAAGAGGGTCAGTGTTTGCGAGGGTTAGCTTGCCGGCAGGGTGATAGCATCGTCTGCTGTTATGGATTAACTATGGATTTGCTGTCATTAGTGGCGCGTGAGCTGGAGTTCAGATTTGATTTGTATGTAGCAAACGACGGCTTGTTCGGTAAGAGGAACGGAAGAAGCGGTGAGTGGAACGGTGTTGTGGGAGAGTTGGTTTCTGGCCGTGCTCAGTTAGCCTTCGCGCCGATGAGTGTGTCTGCAACAAGAGCAGAAGTAATCGACTTCACCACACCATACTTTTTCAGCGGTGTGAGTTTCCTAGCTGCCCCAAAGCTAAGGTCCGAAATTCCTCTCTTGGCCTTCCTATTGCCGTTTAGTCCAGAATTATGGATCGCGGTGTTCACGTCACTGAACATAACTGCCATGGCAGTGGCAGCCTACGAGTGGTTGAGTCCTTTTGGACTCAATCCATGGGGCAGACAGCGTAGCAAAAACTTCTCCATAGCTTCCGCACTTTGGGTGATGTGGGGTCTTCTTTGCGGACATCTTGTCGCTTTTAAAGCACCTAAATCTTGGCCTAATAAATTTCTAATTAACGTTTGGGGTGGCTTCTCCGTCATCTTCGTAGCCTCCTACACTGCGAACATTGCTGCATTGATAGCTGGTTTGTTTTTCCACTCAGCTGTCAGCAATTACCACGATCGGAGTGTGAGTAGAAGATCTCGACGCGAAGACGTTTGAATTTATATCTCTAATATAATATATTATTCAATCATTATTTTCAGTTGCTTTCCCAGCGCGTTGGGGCTCCAAGAGCTTCTGCGGCAGAGTATTATGTCCAACGAGCCAATCCACAGTTATGGTCCCATATGGCAAGGTACTCTTTATCGGATGTGGCTGAAGGCGTAGACCGATTGAAAAACGGCAGCTTGGATATTCTCATAGCCGACACTCCTATTCTGGACTATTATCGTGCCACTGATATTGGTTGTCGGCTGCAAAAGATTGGAGATACCATCAATGAGGACACGTATGCTGTGGCTCTAACAAAAGGTCATCCTCTCAAGGAAAGCATATCAAAAGTAATTGCAAATTATACGAGTAATGGATTACTGGATATCCTTCAGGAGAAATGGTGAGTTGCTCACTATTTAAGCTAATTTGAAGCTAAACATTAATGCATTAATATATCGATGGTTCACTGTTTCTCGAAGTTAAGACAATTAAGGATCTGAAACATCAATACCTGAGTATCTAATCCAAATTCATAATTCATTGCCTAAAAAAAAATAGCTTTAAACAAAATAAAACCTAAGGGATAAATGACATTATGCTCTTTCAACTTGGCTTTAAATCCCTTAATCAGGGTCGTTCCTGGCGGGGGTGCAAAAGGTGTCCCCGCACCTGAACGATCAGATCCAGGGGTGGCCGTGGACGATTTATTATATGTCAAATTTTGACTACTAACAGTAATATAAGAAAAATATTTCTTTTACATAATTGTTTAAAACTATGTATATATAGATATAATTGTAAATACTGCATATCAAAGTTTTAATTAAATAATATTAAAGTTAATAAGGGCAACGATAGTGTTTGTGCTCCTGGGTAGCCAACAACCCGGAAACGGTTCTGCTCTTAATTCATGATCTACCACCACAGTAGTTTCACGTTGTGAATAAAATCTCTCAATGGTTCCCCAATTCATTCTTTAACTGAGTTCTGTTAAAATGACATAGGTATGGAGGACTGCCATGCATCAGAGGTCAAGAAGGCTTGGATGCAAGTTTGGAGCCAGTACCAGGGGGACAACCTAGACCTCTGGGGGTGGCCTCAGTGGCAGGAGTTTTTTGTCTATTGGGCCTAGGTGTGATTCTGGGTGCCATCATTCTTGCTGGAGAACATTTGTTCTACCGATACACACTGCCAAGGCTTAGGCACAGGCCTAAAAGTTCGGTTTGGCGTAGTCGCAACGTCATGTTCTTCTCGCAGAAGCTCTACAGGTTCATCAACTGCGTTGAGTTGGTTTCGCCTCATCATGCGGCTCGAGAACTGGTCCATACGGTTAGGCAAGGCCAGATCACGTCTCTCTTCCAGAAAAGTGTAAAACGAGTAAGTACTCGGTGCTTCACTTGATGTCAACGAATCACAGTACTCTTCACAGTATCCCCGGTTACAGAAGGAGCACGAACAGAGGCGGAGGCGCAAGAGCAAAGCCCAGTTCTTCGAGATGATACAAGAGATAAGGAGGTACGTACATAGTAAATCTTCATCGAGGAACTCGGTTGAGTTTGAGTTTTGTACCGAAAACATTTTGAAGCTTTAAGGTGAAGTGAAACCCCCTTCAAATCAGTCGATTCGAATACAACACTTTTTTTAAGGATATTGGACCAAACTGTCCGAAACTTTGACACATCACTCCTGATTATCTAAGAATTGTCCTGACACGTTCAAAATTTGGATTTTTTAACTCAGCCCAGACTAGAACCAAAATGGCGTCGAACTCTCATATTACGATCAATATACAATTATCGAGGGCTCTGATATGAGAATCGAAAGGGTCAGGACAATTTTACGACAATTTAGAATACACTGGTAATCGATAAACTCGCATTTGAACGGGATAAAGGCAAAAAAAGTGTTGTATGCGCTTTTATGCTAAAACGATGCTAATACGAGGTCTCAGAGTGAAAATTTAATTTACCTGGAAATCATAGATGGCGCAGGGGATCCCTCTGCTGTCAATTAGGGCCCCGAAAGCATGAATCCAGAGGATTTCTGAAGTTTTACTTCGGTTTCTTTATAATTATTGTACGAAAACGACAGGTGGAGTGTGCCATTTGGTACAATACCCAATATAATTCGACACAGCTGTCAATAGAAAGACGAACGTCGGCAACGTAGGCATTTAGAAAAATCTTTATTGACGTCGATCAAGTTCCTCGACGTGTTTCACTTATATGAATATGAAAGGCGCTGAGAAATTTAATCGACGTCGATAAATTTAAACTCATCTATACCTTTTTCGGTGGTAATACCATGTCGAATACTCAAGTGGTAACATAAGCTGATGTGTCTCCTTACTGACATTTATATTTATGTTGAAGTCTTGTACGGTCTACGTTGAGAATTATACGAACTGAACAGTTCCATATGCTGTTTCAGTAAAGTATTGATAAAGAGATCGTTGTAAAACTGTCGAAATCCCGTGAATTCATGACTTTTTATATTCTAACGGATCAACAGCGCCATCTGTGACGTTTAGCTACAATTAAATGTTTGCTCCAAAAACACGTGTTAGCCACGGGACAAGCCAGCATTTTCTTGCAATCGTTGGTAAAAGTATTTTCCATACTTTCCCATCGCTAATGCTATGCAAAGCAAAATAATTTCATACAATCATTTTTCGACAAGATACCTATTAGTGTTACGTAATATTTCACCCAGGTTTTTTTAATAACAATGTTTGTAAAATTGGTACGAAAAATATTTCAGATACTCGTGAATCAACCGATATGAAAATTAGGAATTTATACTTTTCTTTGTACGATTCTTTAGTACTTATTATAGAATTTTTTTAATTTACTGCCCAATCGTTTTGGTAAAGCAAAAAGATCTGTTTTTAAGATGAATAAAGTGAGTTATTTTTTTTTATAAAGTGAAAATAACATTTTTGGTATACTTATTACTATCATCTTTCAAAAGATATTGCTTTCCGAAATTAGTTGTGATAAGTACTAATTTAACAAACAACGTTTTGTCTTATATTTGATCTCTGATACCGCAAATACTGTTATTCGAAAGACTATTTTGAAACATAATTCCTAGCACCTTAATTCTCTTTTCACTTTGGGAAAATATTCTCGGATACTTATTTACGAAAACATATGTTTGCATTTTTAATACAAGATAATTTTACCCACAATAAAAATGTATACGCGTATTCCGTCTCGATTGTGGATCCGTGAAAGGTATGTAACTCCTTAAAACATTTACCAAGTACCATATAGATTTCTTTAACCCTTTGTCTCCCAAAGGTACCTAACGGCGTCCGACATTTGGCTCAATATTGCCTGAACGCATTGATGAATTTCGCCCATACGTCGAAAGGGCTCCGTGGTCAAAGGGTTAAGGTATTACTTCCCTAGTAATCGGACTCAAATGTTGACGCGTTGGGGGATGTATCGACCATTGAGTCCCTCCTATACCTCAAAGCGAACTTTTTGTCCATGCCTGTACATCTTGGGCGGCTACGCACACATGTATTCCATGAACTGATAGACTCGCACACAAGCGTAGGTTGGCGCGCAGAGATGTGGCAGCGTTGTTTGGGGCATCAGTAGTCCAATAGTGAAAAATGTCAAATCGCGGGCGGTTACACGTACTGCCGCGAACATGGTTGCCACATCTGAGTCGCGCGCCCCACTCTCAGCGCGTGCAAAAAAATTCGGAATTTCTCTGATAGCCCTATTTCCGTCTCCCGATGGACAAAAAATTCCAATTTTTTAAAATATCAACTAACACATATTCCTTTATATTGTCACGATTTTTGAAAAAAAATGGTAAAAGTCGTTTCATCATAAAAATTGAAAATATAACACAGCGTCCCATTATGTACGCGTTACATATGGAGACATGCTGTAAAATAAGCAATATTCAAATTCGATTATCCTCCGATCTAGATAGACGATTTTCTTCCGAATGGGCTTGTTTTGTAGATAAAAATCTAAACAATACCCTGAAAGAGTCTGAAAAAAATGGTAAGAAAAGTGCATTTAGGGAAGTAATACCTTAAGCAACAGTTCTAACTGAAATCCTCAATACTTCCATTTTCAAACGTCTACTGACGAACGATTAAACGGTATCAATGTAGGCAAGATATTTCCTATTTATCGGTTCGAAAGCAGCGTTAAACCGAAGTCTGACAATACGTTCAGAACAAACTGTAACAACTGTCATATACGGTTACGGTAACGACGGTTCCGCGGGATCTTATAAAACGTAATTCCCAAGACCTAGACTAATTTGTCGGGGTTTCCACAGGGTACAGCAGGAGGAGAAAACGGAGCCGACCTCGAAGGACCCGGAGGACCGGCGCGCCGCGAAGAAGGAGGAGCGCGCCGCGAAGGGGAGGGAGCGGAGCCGCAGCAAGAGTCCGCTGATGCCGCACAGCCCGAAGCGACCGGAGAAGAGTCGGAGCTCGACGAACCTCTCGAGTTCGCGGCTAGGCCTCTCCCCGATCGGCCTGGAGGCCCCGATGAAGCCCCGCGAGTTCACCCTGAGCAGCACCAATCTGCGGGCCCGAAGCCCCCTGGAGACGGTGGGCCGGCGGCTGAGCCACGGGGACGGAGGCTCGCCACCCCCGCGGCTGGGCTCGCACCTGGGGGGCAGCGCCACCCTGAGGCCGGCGGCCGCGTTGAGCGGCGGCTCGACGACCCCGCGGTACTCCCGCAGCCCGGCGAAGCGCGGCCAGTCCTTCCCGGTGTTCGCCACCCTGAGGCCCCCGACGGCGGGGCGCCGCCAGGTGCCGGCCAGCCCCCCGGCGAGTCTACCGCCGTCGCCGAGCGGCGAGGAGGCCCCGGCGGCGGGCCGCGACCTCCTGCCCGGGAGGGTGCGCGCGGCCCGGTCCAGCGCTACCCTGGCGCTCGACCAGGAGCCGGAGCGGCCCGCGCTCCCCAGGGAAGAACGAGTGGAGCGGGTGGAGCGGCAGGAGGTCGTCGCGGCCCCGAAGAGGCCCGTGCGCCGAGCCCGCAGCCACGAGAACCGGGAGTTCGCCAGGCCCGAGCCGGCCGCGGCTCGACCCGCCGCCCAGCCCGTGGTCGGCGGCCGGTCCGTCAGCGAGAGGACGAAGAAGCAGCTGGAGTCCGAGCTCAAGGCCATCCTGACCGCCCGGGCGCACCACCGCGACCTACACCCGCCTTGATAGACGCGCGCCGGGCTCGGTGCTGGGTCTTGGAACGCCCCGGTGTCGGGGGCTCGCTGCCTCTGAGGGGCTCGGTTCGCTCGATTTAAGCAATATCAGATTAAATAGGTCAATTTCTAGCTGGATCCGGCAGTCGGGGGCGGCAGCGGGTGGCCGCGACGGGCCCCGGAGGGCGGCCGTGCGTCGCGGGCTACGCCCCGTACCATTTGTTCACACGTTGTTACGTACATTGATAATTTAGGGTTTATATATATATATAGTATATATGATATATAGTATATATATATTTCTCTCGCTCTCTAAAGGAGCGCTATAAACCTTGGTAGATGCGTCTTAACGGGCGACGCGGCACGTAACGTGGATACCCTAAGATATTTTCTTGTTGGCATTTTAACTCTACATTAACCGCTGGCTGGGGCGAGTCTCTCCGGACGTAGGGATCGGACGTCTTCTCGAGAGCCGACCGGTTGGCAATGCCTGGCTCGACTGGCTTCTTAAGTAGGGGGAAATACGTAATGCCCGAGCACTGCCCGTAGTCGTAGCGAGGTTTTCCTCCGGAGTTACTTTTCGGTAATTTGTCAGCTCGGTTTCACCCGGATAGAGGCTAGATTTCTCTTTCGTGTCGTCTCGTCCAGTAACTCGCTGTCGGAGGGAAGATTTGTATTCGTTCCAGCTGGGCGCTCGTTTCTTGCCCGATCGAGCGCAGCGTTAGCACGAGTCTGGGGTAAAGCCTTGCCGCGGTCGTGCGGTTACAAGGAGACGAGTTCCCGTATACCCGGGATAAGTTGGTTCCCTGGAGCTTCTCGACTCGACCAGCGTCCTGCCACTTTTAACGATAACGATAGCGATCGTTACCGCGGAGGGAGAGACTCGCTGGACAGGCTACCGGCGTAGACAGACCACTTATTGCGATCTGCGTAATTCTGTAATTATTACGCCCATCGAGAAGACGTATAGACGCAGTAATTAAGCGTAATACGTCGTTTTCGTCGCGATTGCCGGGATTCGACGTTTGGGGATCGCGGGGGCGCGAAGGTGGGGGTGAGCCTTGCAGTAGAGTCCTCTCGTCGAAGAGCCCGAAGGGTTGTCTCTCCGCTGACTGTCGTCTATCGTGGTGTCCGTTGTAAAAGTGACGCGAAACGTGCCCTAGGGATCAAGGAAATTGTTGCCGGAATTGCGTTAAAAGAACTCGTTGTAATTGAGCGGAGAGAGAGATATTATCGCGGTAGATGGTCGTAAGTGTACCTTTCCGACCCTCTGTCTGGAATCCTATCGATCGAACGAAAAGCGACAGACTCGTTTACTCCTACTACTTAAAAACGTAGCGTGTTAGAACGAATGCATGGGACTAAATTAAATAATTCATGAGCGAGGCCTTAGGAGTAGTCGTATCCGCCCAAACTACTTTACTTAATAACATTAACGTACTCGAATATCATACCATATTGGATTGCGTAGAGATATATAGTGAGTTTAGTTTACTAGTTTGTTGTTAGAGACTATATTGAGACTCATTATATTCTTGAAAGTCGTCGAGCCAAGTAGCTCCCCGAGAGTGTATGCCCTCTCGATTTGGTTGCGAGTAGATACATAGGAGGACTGCCGATCCTGCTTGACGGTTGTTCATGTGTCAGGTTACGATTCCAATTGGAGGCGAAGGCTCATCGATGAACTCTTTGTCAGGTCTTGGCATTACGGTGACTCCTAGTTCCGATGGGCACTTAACCAAAACTGTCACTTATCTTTCTAACTCCGGTTGCCGATTTAATACACCTGCAACCTCTGAACGTCAGGTGCTAACGGCACGTCCTAACTCTCGTCCTGTCCCTACAAGATCTATCGTCACGTAGTGACATTCAAGATTCATCGGATTCTACCTCTTCTTTCCAGAGGCTTCGAATAGTCTCTTAACCTCACTTTTTTAAAGGACGCCGACTTCCTGAAACGTGAATAAATACCAAGTAGTGCGAGCCTACACCGATCAACATAGATTAACCGAAAAGTGTGATCGAATTACAAATTATAGGGGGCCAGTCTAGAGTCACCCGAGCCTAAGGAAATCAAAGATAGACTCGTTAAGTTAATTTTAGCTGTAATTCTCGGGCAGGCGGGACTTATCTGTGATTTAGTTAAGTGGCTTCTTGTCTTCTCTTGGTTCCGTTGAGATACTCCGGTAGACCGATTTGTAGGTTAAGCGCCCAAGGCGTGTACCGTAGTTCTCTTGGAAATTCTTGTACGTACTTGGGTGGAAAACTTACCGAACTCCTGAGAAAGTGGATCACTGTCCTGAATCAAGTGTCGATCTTACACCTCTAGTGCGCCAACAAGAGCCTGTATATATGGAACGTTGTGCCGAGAGAGACAGGAGTGGATGGTACCTGACCGACTATCACCTTTCTTCTTTCTTCCATTCCTTTGCTTCTAAACCATCCAGACACTGGCACTGGTACCGTTTTGGTCCAACTGGCTTTCTCTTTTAATTCCTCCAAATAACAAAACAGCCTGTCCGAACTATTATTTACATTTACGCCATTTGTCCACCGAATCTAATGTTTCTTCGAATTAACGTTACCTACAAATCTCTTCTAAACATGTCCAGAATTCAACTTATCTACATAATTACAAACATAACGGGTAAAATAAATTAAAACAACACAATGTGCTCAAATTATCCATAATGAAAGTTTTTAATTGATCGTAATCATGTATTCTTGCATTTATTGGTGTAAAGTAGTTCATTGCCTCCCATTGGTTGATTTAGGAATACCATTAAAAGTATTGTACCCGGGGCAGATATATACATGTCGTAGCAGAGTTGTTTGCATATAAGAGATTATATCATAGAATTGGATGTTTATAGGATTTTTGATAGTTTATCGACGTATCGCTGACCGGTTACTAGGGGCAATAAGATTATTCTACACTATACGAAGCACTGCCATAAGTTGAAGTATATTACTTTATGAAATCTGCCAGTTAACGGGTGACATTCATCGATCCGCCGATGAATGCAATTCACGTGCCAAGGTTTACAGAACCCTTTTTAACTTATATAATTATTGTTTGTAAACAGAGGAACTACTTTGATGGGTTTTTCTTTCATTCAGAAACATGGCATTCTGATAGTTTTCAATGTCAAAGTAAAGACGAGAGAGCCAAAAATGCCTCGTCGACGTAACGATTGAAACTGCCGCGTGACATTCTAAAAGCGAATTAACGAGTTTTTGGTAGTACGAGCATCCTTTAAGATGGATCGCTGTATAAAGAAACAACGTAACATCGGGAGAAAGCGCAGAGCGAACTTGGCGCAGATCCTGCATACCATGGTGACTTGTTGGCGTACAGTATTAGGTTAGGTTCCTTGTGACCTACCTCGACTCTCTTGTTACGCCTACTACTACACTGTTATTGTTGATGAAAACTCCATATTATTATGAAATAAATATATTGTCTCAACTGGCATGTTCTTACAAAACTTGCACACCACAATATACAATTATTTGAACCTAAAATAAGACGCCATATGCAATTATTGATGAAAGTAAAAATATATGGTAAAGACTAGTTTTAATTACATCTTTGGCATTATCATTCATCGATTCCTGATATGTACTCATTTTTGTTTATAACATATTTGTATACAAGTTTACACAATAATACATTTAATTCCTTCGCAGAGATCATTTAATTTTAATAGAGCTTTAAATACCGTTCATTTGATTTAGCATAAAAAATTTAAATTCTCATGTTGTTGTATTTGCTCATGCAAAAATCCTGTTTAATGATCACAATTATTGTTTATTTCCAGAATACCAGTACACGTAACTACTATATAGTACTTACATCTTTTAAAAAATTGTATATGAAATATGTAAACAGTAATTACATGATCCAGCAATTATACCATTTTTATTTCTGCTATTACTTGTGCATCATAAATTAATATATTATAATTCTCAAGGAATAGTGAAAAATGTCCTCATCGAGCGAGCAACAATATTTGACTGAACATTTTCTAAGGTTAACGAAATTAGCCACCTGGAATTTTGCACTTATCAAAGTAAGAAATCATTTAATAAAAGTGAATAGATTTAAATGAAACTTGAAAAAGAAATAACGTATTATTTATATTAACCATTTGGGAAGAAGAGTAGTCAGTATGACTTATTGCATGGAATATATTTCAGTTTAAAGTTTTACACTAGTCCTGTACTAAATGATCGTTCCTTTAGTTAGTAAAGTTTGCAGAATTTAGATATCTGACAAATTTAAGGCAACTACTAGTAGTAATCATAAAAGATAACGAAAAACTATATTTATTAGCAAACGTTCATAACAAATAATTCAGAGTGAACGAAAGAAGTACCATAACCTTTCTTTTCGTTTCTTCCCGTTTAATCAACGTAGCGGGACGACAGGAAAACCTCATAAATTCCTTCTTTTCTGAGAAATATAACATACGACAGATTAACAAGTGCGTTTTTACCCACGTCGAACAGAGAGATCTTCTCAAATCCCCGAAACATCTATTCGAACCAACTTGCCGTAACGTAACCTTCGACGCTTCTTCACTATTTACAATGACGTCAGCAACAAGTCACGTTGAGTCCTGTTCACTGTAAACGCGCAACAGCGCACAAAGCAGTCTTTGCCATCAGTGTATGCGGAAGAGAAAGTGCAGCCTCAGGATGACTTTTCAAAAACTTTTTGCAAAGCTCACGTAGTCTCGAGTGGCCTCGACCGTGATAGGAACTCGTGGTCGCTCGTGCTCGTCAATCGCTACAAGCTACCGAACTCACGGAAGTGCGCCGACTAATCGAACGACTCGAACCGTTCTCCGAAATCTCGAAACTCGCGCGATTGGATCGAACAGATCGGACCGACGAGGCGCGGTTACGCGATGCGATTCGCCACTGCCATTGCAGAATTTCAACGAGTGTTTCGGCCTAATCGCATCGTGTAACGTGGCACGACGTGGCGAGTCGAGTCACGGAGGCCGGCTGACAAATCGCGCGGCGAAGAAAGCAGAGGGGAAGAACGGTAAGGATACCTGCGCGAGGGGACCTTATAGGTTATCTTTCTCGCCCTCGTTCAGTAGCGAGAGCGAAAGAGCCGCGCGGTCTCTTCGCTGTCGGAGTGGGAGCACTACACTGCGCTCGTCCGTCTCGACGAAGGTCTCTTATGACGTACGTGACGTATGGTCCCTCCGAACGTACCGCTCCCGGTTGCTTCGACAGCCTCCGTGCGGACCGATAGCAGGGGACATAACCTTCCCTTTCTAGTCGTGGAAAGATTGCCCAAGATCGTTCGGCTCGGCGCGGAAGCGACGTTTCGATTTTGCAAGTCATTCCACGACGCTATCTCGATTGGGTGCGCCCCTTGACGCGAAAACTCCTAGAACTTGCTGCGATTGTACGTGACTACCTATCTGCGTTTACAGACGTGTCTTGGAAGGAGCGACGTCTTCTCGGTCGGCTGCTCTGAGCCGACTGTCACCGACTACCACCGACTGCCATGGAATCTCTCGCCAATATGTAGAAGAGTCCACGAGAAGCGTGCGATGACATATGCGAATGTATACGCGTCCTCGGTGACCTGGAGTGCTTGCGAGGACCTGGACGTACACCCGAATTTATACCTGGATGTGAACTCCAATTCGCGTCCGTCGTGACGGATCCGACGCTCAGCTTCCTCTGGACCCGAGTGCTCTGAGACCGTTGACACTCTTCGACGTTAATGGGGAAGGCTCGAGGCTTGGCATATTTTGCTACTATTACTGCCTACAGAAGCTCCGAACTTCCTTTTCTTATTTTCTTTTGGTAAGACTCTGCTCGAAAGACTGTCCATTCTTACTTTGGCTTTACGACAGTAGCTTGAATCGTGTGATGCCAATGTTTGCGGAAAAGAGCATCTGGCTACTTTGAAATATATATGTATAATTCATAGATAATGATATTTAAAAGGCCTACTCTAAGCAATCGACATAAGTTACACGATTCAAGATGGGTAAAACTTGTAGAGTCGGCAGTTTCGAGAACTCATTCCATAAGTGATTGCCTTTGTGACCTTTGATTTAATAATTTATTCCTTAGTGGAACAACTTGACGTTTGTAATTAACCTATAATGGCTCTGTGGCTTTAATGCAAAAACACTACGGATTGTTCACATCAGACAAATTAATGTTCTGTATATTTAAACAGTTTGTATTTTTGACCACGAAGAGATCGGAAAAATGATTACCAGATTATGGTTATTATATCGTAGGCGTTTACCTCTATGAAAACGCTTATGTTTAAAAAACGTTCATGGTGGAATCGTACACCTGCTTCTTCCATTGAATTGAATAAGTACGTATTTTAATTTTATACTTTCAGCTTGACCGCTGTCTTAAGGGGTTACATATTTTTGATAGGCTTAAATTAAAATTAAATTTACAAATTTTTGTCATAGAAATCAACATCTGATAAAGGAGTTTATTAATCATTGTATTTATTCTACTGAACTTAAGGGAGGGATTCTCATGTAACAGTTTTAAACAATCGATTTTTTTTTAAATATATATCAGAGGGACATCTCTGAAGTATGCACACAAAATTTTGAGCTCAAAATAACAATTTATTACTAGAATGACCGGCAGATTTTTTGTTTATAGGATGAGCCATTTGAAAAAGTCATTTCGACCCGCTTGGTAGTTCTAGTGTTAAAGTTAAGTTACAGTCAATTTAGTGGACGCTTCAAATTATTATTTATGACAAACGTAGCCACTGTCTTCACAAATGTAAAAATATCCAAAACAATTGTAAAGATATCTAAACAACTCACGTTAGAATTCCTCAATTATAAAATGGATGCTATAAAAATCATGATTTCTAACCTAATGATTTAATTTTGTAATAAAAAGTAAAACATAAATAAATAGATTAAAGATTAAATTACACTGAGGTCACTATTAAATGTGTTTTACTCGGAACTACATTTTTCAAAATAGCTTGCAGGATAACTGAAAAATTAATCAGCTCGTCAACTTCGCACCATGCCTGTTTAAGTTCTTATATACTTCTCCACGGGTTATACCTATAATTTCAATTGTATTATTTATTTATAACATTTTTATCACAATTTTTATCACAATTTAAGGCTAATTTTTGCTGAAGAGTATTCATTTTTATTCCAAATGGTAGGTTATTCAATTTTTCAGATAGTTTTTTTTTTAAATAGGTATAACCCCAGCGTTAACTATCTAGTTTTAAGAAAATCTATTACTTTTGAAATTCGGATGTCTGTGACAAGTGTTACATTGCACGCCGACATTTGATTTTCTATAGGAAGTGACTGAGATAATTATATCCTGTTTGAAGAAACATAAAGAAAATTAAAAGCAAAAAATATATTTTTAAACTTTAAGGTTGTCCTATTGTATTAAACAAAAATGATTTGAATATCATGAATAGCTTTCTTATAAAAAAATTCATGAAAATTGTTAATTTCTTACCTTGTTACACGAGAATCTCCCCTTAAAAAATGAATACATAGATCATTAATTTAATAAATTCACAGTTAAGTACACATGCATTATTCCAGGTACTATCAATTAGCTAATTATGTATAATCATCGACTCACATTAATTTTGTCATCCTTTTTGAGTGAACGAATTAAACACTCATCTGTAATAATGCTGTGTCAGTGCAATAAAGTGGGGAAATCATGACTACGATTGAATTTTTTCTGCTAGGTACAAGTGGATAGATTAGTATACGTGAGTGGATTTCTGGTAAAGCCCAGACACTAGAATTTTCATTGTATCAAGAGACGAGGTAGTGTCTCAGACAAGCTCATGGCTTTCGATTATCAGATAACTTACAATACTTCTCTCTAGTTTTAAAATCTTATTAAATATTCAAAGTACAGTGAAAATATACGTTAGCACAATAATGGACGCATCATCATTCTTACAGATCACTTTCATGGATGGAGAAGAAGATTACCTGCAAAGGAAAGGAGGCAGTAGTTCTCAATCTATGCATAATGCGGATGGATCTCCTGTCATACCAGGAGAAGAAAAAGACTGGGACGGAGCGTTCAACTCAGAAAAGCATGGAGATCTTGGTGACATGACATTCTGTATGGCTAATTACGTGAAGGAAGCTATGAAAATGATGTTTATGATGCGAAGTCATCATATGCTCACCGATGTTATATTAGAAGTTGGTTCGGAGCTGTTTCATGCTCATAAAGTGATCCTGGCTGCTGCTAGTCCGTACTTTAAGGTAATAACGAATATATTGTTACTACACATTTCACGTTCGCTTTAGTTCTATTACTTTTAATTGCATCATTTATCATGTTTGAATTGGAATATTATAGGCAATGTTTACGGGTGGATTGAAGGAGTGTGAGATGACTAGAGTAAAACTTCAGGGAGTGTGTCCAACGGCAATGGCTCGGTTAATGTATTTTATGTACACGGGCCAGATACGAGTTACCGAGGTTACTGTTTGTTCCTTGTTACCAGCTGCTACTATGTTTCAGGTGTGGTTCAGGAAGATTTTCTTAAGTTATTCTATAATATTATGATTTAACCTTTATGTCGATGACCAAAAATTGTTTCGTTTAATAACCAGGTACTTGGGTACCCATCGCAGAAGTTTCGTATGTCAAAGGCATAAGAAGATTATTTATGCTTTCACACGCTCCTGATTCTTTCTACTATGCATAATTTACATAATGAAAGTGAAAATTTAATTTAAAATATATCCATCAACCTGTAGACCTTGTAAATCAGAAATGTAATGTTATACCCAGCAAAAGCATTTCAATACGCACGATTATGCGTATAGTTTTTACTCGTTTTGAAACATTTTTGCCAGTAAGCACAAAATTGTTCTTAAGCTGTACGAGGTAATCATGGTGAACCAATCTCGAACAAAATTTCATTCAGAAAAGATATTGTGCGGTGTACTTTGAAACGCATACTATTTTTTATAAAAAGAAAAACTTTTGTATCACTTGATGCGCAAAATTTGAGGATAGATGCTATCCTCAAATTTTAAGTACCGCAATCCATACATTAGATTTAAAAGTTTATAATAAAATTCTTTGATGGACCGATTTATTACAGAACATTGTATATACTTCTACATTTTTTCTCCATCAAATTATAATATGGTACTTCGTTATTGAGCAACCGTATAGACGACTTTTGCTACAAATATTTTTGAAATATACTAATCAAAGTCAATATTTTATTGCATAAAAACATGAAAGTAAAAACCAAGACAAAATTTACATAGAAGTAAAATGGTCATTGACATAAAGGTTAAATAATTCTTTTAATTTGTAACTTATTTGTCATTCATATATTTTTCTGATTTGTCAAAAAAGACAAATGTTGCAATAACGTATAATGATCACAATCGTAGTCTAAGATAATATTGAATATGATGACAAAGCAGATTCTTTTCTTTATCACAGGTTAGTAACGTCATAGATGCATGTTGTGTTTTCCTCGAAAGGCAACTAGACCCAACGAATGCAATTGGAATAGCAAACTTTGCCGAACAGCATGGCTGTCATAATTTGTACCACAAAGCGAATCAATTTATTGTTCAACACTTCAGTCAGATCTGCCAAGAAGAGGAATTCCTGCAGTTATCTGCGATACAGTTAGTTTCTCTTGTTAGGAAGGATGAATTAAATGTTCAAGAAGAGAGGGAAGTGTACAATGCAGTGTTGAAGTGGGTGAAATATAACGAAGAAGCCAGAGGACCAAAGATGGAACACATATTGCACGCCGTTCGCTGTCAATACCTGACTCCGAATTTTCTGCGGGAGCAGATGAAGAATTGTGACGTTTTAAAAAAGATGCCAGCGTGTCGAGAGTATTTGGCACAAATATTCAAGGATTTGACTCTTCACAAGAAACCCATAGTAAAGGAAAGGACGCCAAATACCCCAAGGATTATTTATATAGCTGGAGGATTTTTAAAACACTCATTGGATACTCTCGAAGGATATAACGCCGACGATAAAACTTGGACCCAGCATGCAAAATTACTTGTTCCTCGATCAGGGTTAGGAGGAGCATTCCTGAAAGGCATGTTTTATGCTGTCGGCGGAAGAAACAATTCGCCTGGCACTAGGTTGGTACAGCCAGAAGTGAAGAACGTATTAGATTTTGCAATCGAATAGATAATTTATTTTATATAGGTTAAGGTGATATGAAAGAGTCAGCCTATACATTTATCTGAGAAGTCAAATCGTTGGGGAAAGTATTCTCTGAATTCGGTGCACCGATTCGTTTCAAATTTTACCACGGGAATACGGAGGCCCTAAAGTAGGTCCTGAAACTCATGAAATTTCATTTTTCATCAAAAATTTATTTACTTATGACGGACTAGAACTAACATGGATGTTTCACGCTTCTTGGAGGCTTAGAATCGAAAATGAATAGTTTCAGGACCTAGCTGGAACAATTTAGAATACCGTAGAAATGGAAAATTACAGAGTTAGATGGGAAAATATGGAAAATACTTTCACCAACGATTGCAAGAAAATGCTGGCTCGTCCCGGGGCTAATCGATGTTTTTAGAGCAAACATTTAGTTGCAGCTAAACGTCACAGATGGCGACGTTGGTTCTAAACAGTCGTTAGAATAATGAATTCCCGGAATTTCGACAGTTTTACGTCGATCTGTTTATCATTACTTTATCGAAATGATACATGGAACGCTTCATTTTGTATAATTCTCAACGTAGAGTATAAAAGACTTCAACATAAATATAAATGTCGGTAACGGGACGTACCAGCTTATGATTCCACTTGAGTATTCAAACTGACATTACCACCAAAAAGGGTATAGATGAATTTTAATTTATCGATGTCGATTAAATTTCTCAGCGCCTTTCATATCATCTTAAAGGTACGACAGCGACTGGGTCGACAGATACAATCCAGTGACGGATCAGTGGCGTCCCTGTAGTCCCATGTCAGTGCCAAGAAACCGAGTTGGTGTAGCAGTAATGGATGGACTTTTGTACGCCGTTGGTGGAAGTGCCGGAAAAGAGTATCACAACAGTGTCGAGTACTATGATCCCGACCAAGACACGTGGACAAGCGTAAAGCCCATGCACGTTAAAAGACTCGGAGTTGGCGTCGCAGTAGTCAATAGGTATTGCAGTACTTTTAAATAGTCGTTAACTCCGACATCACATACTTAGAAAAATCAAAAGATTTTTTATTTATAATTAAAAAAAAAAAGAATTGGCACGCTCGTGCATAAATGAATTATTGAATACAAATTCGCAAGTACGGTAAATAGGTTATTGTCTAGTAAATTACTGATTCGTTACTTGTTATAATATTCACATTATCATTCATTGTCTTTACTGGAGCTTGCTATTTATTAAGGGGATGAGAAAGTGGCAACCGAAATATCAATCGTTCGTGAAACTTTTCTCCGAACTGAGTGTACCGAATCGTTTTAAACTTTACAACGTGAACATGGAGGCTGTAAGGAAGGTCCTGACACTCGTGAAATTTTACTTTTCATAACAAATTTTGACTATCTATAAACAAATTTTTAAAAAATTGAAATTCTCCGGATGTCAGGACCTTCCTTCTAGCCTCCAATTTCACGTTGTAAAGTTTGAAACGATTCGTTACACCCAGTTCGGAGAAAAGTTTCATAAATAGGACCCCTTTGACTCCACTTTCACATCACCTTAAGACAGTTACATACATCAATCACATCGTTGTAACTTACTAAAATTTCATAGGTTACTGTACGCGGTGGGTGGATTCGATGGTGTAAATAGATTAAATTCCGTGGAGTGTTATCATCCGGAAAACGACGAGTGGACGATGGTATCTCCTATGAAGTGCTGTCGCTCAGGGGCAGGTGTAGCGAGTCTCGGTCAATATATTTATGTAGTTGGTGGATATGACGGATCAAGTCAATTAAATTCCGTAGAGCGGTACGACACCGAACGGGATATCTGGGAGATCGTCAGTAGCGTCACTATAGCTCGAAGTGCTCTCAGCGTGACGGTCCTTGATGGCAAATTGTATGCCATGGGTAAGTTTGGATGATTAATCTTAAATTAACAGTTCTCGTCAGGCTACCTTTTCACTTGCCATACATAATGTTACCGTGGGTACATAGTTCCCTATGTTGCTGCCAATATTATAGATTAAAAATGAATGACACGTAATAATTATACAAGTTGATAATATAATACCTTTTAAGTAAAATTATCTGGTTGACGAAAAAGATGCATGGAAGTTGCACGCGAGTACAACATTTAAAAGTTTGTTCGCATATTCGAATTCGGCAAAAGAATTGTACAGAGGTTACAGATATGTACAATATAAACATCTTTAAGGTGAAGTGAAACACGTCGAGGAACTTGATCGACGTCGGTAAAAAAGATTCTTCTAAATACCTTCGTTGTCGATGTTCGTTTTTATATTGACGGCTGTGTCGAATTATATTGGGTATTGTACAACATGGCATACTCCATCTGTCGTTTTCGTACAATAATTATAAAAATCTTCAGAAATCCCCTAGATTCGTGGTTTCCGAGGAAATAATTGACTACAGAGTGACATCCTGCGTCATCTGTGATTTCCGTGTCAACTAAATATTCACTCTGAGACCTCGTATTACCATCGTTTTAGCATAGAAGCGCATAAGACACTTTTTTTGCCTTTATCCCGTTCAAATGCGAGTTTATCGATTACTACAGTGTTCTAAATTGTCGTACAATTGCCCTGACACTTTCGTTTCTCATATTAGAGCCTTCAATAATTGTACATCGATCGAAATAGAGCTCGACGCCATTTTGGTTCTGGCCTGGGCTAAATTAAACGATTTTTTTCAATAATCCGAATTTTGAAAGTGTCAGGATAATTCCTAAGTGCTCGCAGATCATGTGTCAGCGTTTCGGACAGTTCGATCCAATGCCCTTAAAAAAAGTGTCTTATTCGAATTGACTGATTTCAGGGGGGCTTCACTTCACCTTAAATGAAAGCATATAGTTTCTTTTCCACGTTCTTGTTGCCCTTATCTCTTGTTCTTCCTGGAAAAAAGTTGGAATCGATCTAACTTTTTGTAACAGCGATTCATAGATTGAGAGTCAATTGGAGCGTTTTATTGCAGGAAAGCAAGTGAAGAGGTAGCTTTACCGCTTTGACTGTATAAGTATGGATTGCTAGCCATTCGTATTTTATCATGCGTTGATAGCTCGAAAAGCGAGACCAACATGAATCGTGGTGCAGGGCATAAAGTCATGGACCAAAAAAGAGGAAAATTCGAATATAATTATTTTGATCGAGACAATGTAATCCACGGGGCCGGCTCTTTAAGTCAGATATACTAAAAAATAAGCGACATTCAGAATAACTGTCCCTCTAGCATTTCCCCTCGAGTTCAAGAAAATAATTTTATCGAGTAGCTATGGAATCTTCCTTCCAAATGCTACTCCACGTATACCTAAATCTCGATATATTTGGAAATTCACTTCGAACCTTCGCATTGCGCGGAGAGGGAAAGTTAGTTGTTTATAAATAAGGTATCACTTAATCCGATACCTTAAAATGGTATGTTTGCGTCTTTCTTTTTATCTTTACTGTGCTATTTTGTGCTATGGCAACCTTTAACCACGTGGTAGCAGTCCATTTCCCTTAATTAAACGCGAATCTATTTATTGGAAATTATTGGAAATTATTGGAATTATTGGAAATTTAAATTAGAACTCCGGGGGATACGAAGTCGTTAGTTAGTTCTTGGTCCACGATGGCGCTGATGGTCTGGCAACTAGCAGTCCATACTTTTGTAGTCAAAGCTTTACCGAAATCTTGTAGCGATATTTGCTTCGATGTCTTCAGTCATTTATATTTGTTACATTGCAGGGGGTTACGACGGCCAGATATTTGTAAATATCGTGGAGATTTACGATCCTGCTCAGGATCGGTGGGAGGAAGGAGTGCCCATGACGTCGAGCAGATCTGGGCACGCTAGTGCAGTGTCCTATCACCAATGTCCAATGCATTGCGATCATTTAGATCATAATATAGCTTTAGAGAAGAATCCTACGTGATACATGACACGGCGATACTCCGCGGAACGGTCATTCAACTTTAGTTCTCATTCAACCGAGCTTATTTATTCGTAGATCGAGGAGAGTCGAGTTGAATCAGGGTGCCCTGTCCTTTATTGTAAGAAGTCGTCGTCTTGAAACCATCCCAGTTTCGTTCAAACGGGCGCGATAACGCGCTGGGACACCTTCGCAATAAATCAGACTGAAGAGTACACTTTCCACTAGTAGCCTTACAATTAGATCAAGTTAGTTCCTAAGGCCTGAGCTGATCGATGGGAAGGGCGAGATTTGGAAACGTAGGCCTGTAAAATCGCAGCGAGGATAATTTACGCGGACCACTGAAAATGAGGGGTTTCACGTCCATTAGAGTAAGTCATTAAATGTAATTGTATTATTTTTATAAAGCCCTGTGCCTCTGTAACTATATAGGAATATGTACATATACACTGATTGTTTTCAAGAAACTGTGCATTATATTAATAATGACCACGTTTTGCATTGATTTTTACGCGTAAGTTAAGGTGATATGAAAGAGTCAGCGTACGTATATCTGAGAAGTCAAGTCGTTGGTGAAAGTATTCTCCGAATAGGATGCATCGATTCGATTCAAATTTTACCACGGGAATACGGAGGCCCCAAAGTAGGTCCCGAAACTCATGAAATTTCGTTTTTCATCAAAAAATTATTTTTTTGTCATCAACTAAAATTATCATGGCGTGGTCCATGCACGTTTTCACTGTTTTACGCTTCTTGGAGGCTTAGAATCGGAAAAGAAGAGTTTTAGGACCTAGCTTGAGCAATTTAGAATACCGTAGAAACGAAATATTACAGAGTCAAATAAGAAAATATGGAAAATACTTTCACCAACGATTGCAAGAAAATGCTGGCTCGTCCCGGGGCTAACCGATGTTTTTAGAGCAAACATTTAGTTGCAGCTAAACGTCACAGATGACACCGTTGGTCCTAAACAGTCGTTAAGATAATGAATTCCCGGGATTTCGACAGTTTTACCTCGATTTGTTTATCATTACTTTATCGAAATGATATATGGAACGCTCCGTTTTGTATAATTCACAATGCAGATTGTAAAAGACTTCAACATAAATATAAATGTCGGTAACGGGACGTGCCAGCTTATGTTACCACTTGAGTATTCAAATTGACATTACCACCAAAAAGCGTATAGATGAATTTTAATTTATCGATGTCGATTAAATTTCTCAGCGCCTTTCATATCATCTTAGTAATTAAGATACTTGGATTGCCGATTTGGTTGGATTTAAAAAAGTTATCGAGAAACGTGTATGTAGGACGATGCCATTTTGTTTCTGTATGTCAACTTTATGGCGCAACTTAACTTGTATGAATTTGTGAATCGATTGACACTTCGTGAACTAGACAATGTTGTCTGCAAGCACGGCTTCTAGAAAAGTAAAAGGAGATCGATAATTTTTAAGATGTTGCCCACTGGCGGAAAGTATTACACGTGTCCAATGTGTAAAGGAAAAGGTACGTATTACGTCGACCAAACGGAGCTAAAATATGAAGTAACTAAAACTAGAATAAAATCAGGATACTGCGAACAGATCAAATCTGCCTCGACGGGCCAAGTTCACCTAGCATCCAGATTACCTCCGATAAATTCTCAAGCTTCGCCTTCAGTATCCGATAAAAATGTAACAGATGACAAGACATCTTTAAATCAAGACATGTACTTACGGGAATTGCATTACAGGTGATTTAAAAACATGAACGTCCTATATAAATTTTAAAGCCGATTGGAAGAAAAATTGAGGCATGTATCTTTGTTCGGTTGAATTTTAAGGATTTTTTATACAGTAAAACTGGTCCGAAGGAAGATAGCTTTAGGGGAGTCGTGGGAGATGGATCCTCATTTTTGGAGCAGGATTTAATTGGGCCAGCAGATAAACTTGAGAATCCAGAAGAGACTTTGAAATTCGCTCTTTCGAAGCTAAAAGAAAATCAATGGGACAGCAGCACTCAGGCTTTATTGAATATTGCTCAGATTTCACGGATTCAGCCTGAGGTGTTAAGTTCAAACATGACAATAATAAATAGAAGCTTGTGCAGGTAAACAATAATGTTTAGATCTAACGTAATGGATTCACACTTGCTTCATTAATGAGTTCAATTAATTTCATTGTTTTTCTATGCTTAGTCTACTGAAAAGTATAAGATCACATGCCGTAAGAATGGCGTGTCAAGTAGCGGAGGAATTATTTAAAACAATGCAATCGACATCCAGGCCAGAATTCGATGAACTGGCTGTTACGTTATTGCAAAAGTCTGCTCATGTGAATAAAGGGATTCGACAGGATGCAAATAAAGCTCTAGATGCCATGGTGACTTATATACCCCTGACTCATTGCGTTAGAGTATTATCTTTTGCCTGTGAAACAGAGTAATATTTCTTTTTGTCAAACATATCTTACATCTTTTATTATTACCTTTTAACTACTTGTAAATTATTTCAGGAGCAAGAATCCTCTTGTGCGAGCTACAGTTAGTCGATTGGTTTATAATATTATTTCCATGGTTGGAGTAGATACTTTAATGGGTAAAAGTAATTTAAAAAACACGAGGGGGAAAATAATTTCAATTTGTGCCAAATTTCTTATTGATGGGAATCATGAGACAAGGTATCCGAAAAGGATTTAGTTATCGAAGTAGTTAGATTAAGCTGGCTTAAGGGGATGTGAAAGTGGCATCCGAAAGCTCAATCGTTCATAAAACTTTTCTACGGACTGGGTGTCTCAGATAGTTTCATACTTTTAAACGTGAATATGGAGACCCTAAGGTAGGTCCTGAAACTGGCGAAATTTCACTTTTTATAAANAAAATACCTATAAAGAAATTTGAAAAGAATTGAAATTCCATGAGTTTCAGGACCTTCCTTATAGTCTTTCTATTCACGTTGTAGAGTTTCAAACTATTCGGTAAACCGAGTTGGGAGAAAAGTTTTATAAACAAAACCTCTTCGACGCCACTTTCACATCACCTTAAACTGTGGGAATCGTTTTAGTCAAATTCTTATAACATCTTTCAGGAACAACGCGAAGATGTCGGTGAAACTTTTAATGAAACACGAAGACTTTGAGATGTATATTAATCAATCTGTCGATCAAAAAGTGATGGAAAAAATAGAAAAGGAACTCGTTGCATTGAAGTACGCATGACGGATGTCGTATTGACATTGTGTGCAGTTTAATTTGTAATTATAATTATTCTTAATTATTTAAACTGATTCTCTCCTTTCTATAGTAAATTATTATTTACATTCACTTTTGTGTCTTAGGATTAATACAATTGTATTAAATGTTTTTCTTCGTGTCATTTGATTTTAATTTGTTGCCTGAGAAGTCAATCATCTGCTGTCCTTCTGGCTTAGTAACATTGGTATTAAAGTCGGGAGTCATTATTGTCCATGTTTCATTGTAATTCTTTTCCTAGTTAATTATTATTTATATTTATTTTTGTATTTTACTATTGACACAATTGGCATGAATTTTATTTCAATAGTTCATTACTATTTATATTCATCTTTGTGTGTTGGAATTTATGACAATATGCGTAAACGTTTCTTTCGGTACGGTCAGTTTGCTTTTACGAATCGGCGTATTTTCATTAATCTTTTATGTTATTGTCTTAATTAATAATTGACCTTTACAGTGAAAGAAAAATAATGCAAGCGTGCATATTTGGCGCGAAACTCTGTAGTTTCCACGCTTCCAGCAACCCTGCTCCCAGGGTTGGGTAAGCATATACGTCATATAATATACGTGATTTTCTACGTGTATGTATGTATGTATATTACACAACGTATAATCCATCCCTAGTTTTCTACGCGAGTGCAATGTACATTGCGCCCTTCTCTTTTTAAATAGAAAATAAATCCAATTAGAAATTTGATATTAAGAGGGTATTATCGTTTAGAAACTTCAAGTATTCGATTTTTTTTGCATTTTCTTATAGTTTGGGGTTCTGAGAATGGTCTCGAAAATATTAATTTGAAATTTGTAGAACTTCCATAGTTACAGAAGCTTATAAAGGCTGCGGTGCGTTGGGGCGCGGCAGGTAGTCATCCCTTTGATCGTTGTGTCCATTGTGCGGCTCAATATTCTTTTTTTGAAGCTGAGGAAGGTGGTTTGTATGGTCCCGGTATAGTTGATTAAAGGGTAAGTTACTAAAATCAGTTATCCACCGTACGTGCTAAATGTATGGCAAATTTTAAACGCGTTTTCCTCGAAACGACATTTTTCAAGTCGGGCGAACGTTTTTCTCGAAACGATATTTTTCAAGTCGGGCGAACGTTTTTCTCGAAACGATATTTTTCAAGTCTGGCGAACGTTTTTCTTAAAAACTATTGGGCCGGTTGACTTCGGGTTTTGCCCACATTTCGACGGAACCTTCATCTATAGTCTGAACTAGAATGATACCGATAGCTTGAATATTTTAGCCCCGCTCTTATGTTTTAGTTGAAAATTTTCCGGGAAAATAAAACCTTAATCTTCAAACAGCTGCGATTCCGATGAAAAATTTCGTACTTACTTTGTTAGTTCTAGTTCAGACGATAGCTACATTCATACAGATTTAAAAAAAATGTTGTTCTTCCGTTTCGGACGACTAGAATCGCCGCAACCCGTTCGTCCGATTGGACGAGCGTTTCACGCAACGATCTGCATAACAGCGGATAACTTGCATAGATTTCAATAAAGAATTTCATACAAACTTGTGTCGCTAGCTGAAACACGTCTTAATACGCGTCAAAAACCCCGGCACTGTAGGTTTGATACTTTTCGCTAAATTAATTCCTAAAAATTACTTATAAAACAAGCTTCTAGACGATAATACCCCCTTAAACAGGGTTAAGTCGAAAGAATTTGAACACAAACGCTAAAGTACTTATTTCTTAACCATTATTACGTTTGTTAATTTAAACCGAACAACCTTCCCCATCAAGCTACTGTGGACGCAATTAGCATCACGAAAAAAGTTCACAAACATCTTTTAACATATTTTAACATCTTCTACCAACAAGTGCAGCAAGCTCGATTTTGATTAACTGCCCATGATGATTTTACCAAAAATGGCTGTTTCCAGGTGATCCACCTAAACCTGCAAAGGGGCACAAAAGTACAGGTAAAACGGAACATTGAAGAAACACCAGTAAGTCGCCAGATTC